CTCTCTCTCTCTCTCTCTCTCTCTCTCTCCCCCCCCCATCTCAAACACCCATTCTATCTCTTCTGGTCCTTCTATCCTGCCCATGCAGGTGTGCTCTGGGGCTTTCCACTGCTGTTGAATTTTAGGTGTGAAAATCCACAGTTGGCTTCCAGTTTTCAGTCTGGAGGAAAAGGAAAACAATTGCATTCCTGGGTGGATCAAGAGAGCCTCTCCCCTCCTCTAATCTCTTCCAGCCCAGCTCTGCGTATTCCCAATCACACTAACTAAACAAACAAATCCATTAACTTCCCCTAAGTGACAGACAAATGACAGTTCTCAACAGCTAGCACATACTTTAGCCCAGTGGCTCCATCATATGATCATATTCCCCTAAACAGGTTGGCCTTTATCAGGGAGAAGGCCGAGAAACAGTAAGGTGGTGGCAGCAGGGTGGGGTGGGGGGCAAATGTGGGATTCTTTATCAAGAATAAACCAACCAAGGATTAAAGAACTCTGCACAAGCCTGTGAGGTGTTACTGTCCCTTTCTTATCAGAAGACTGGAGTAGCCCTTTTTGGAGTTAGAATCAAGTTGGCATGAAGAATGTATTCCTAGTAAGAAACGCTTCTTCTCTTTTGCCGTACAAACAGACCCTGTTTACCCAACTGTCCAGTTAGAGTTAGTTCAAAGTATGTCCCTTCCACTGATGCTTGAACATTCTTCAGGTAAACACAGAATATTTTCTTTCGTCTGGGGATGCTATTGTTATTTGGGTTCTGGAGGGAATGACTTAGTTAAATGAGGTTTCCATAGAAAAGGCCCAGACTTATTTCTAGGAATGAATCTGTTTGTCAGATGCTGGCAATCTATTGAGATAACACTCAACTAGATGGATCATACCTGACTTGCTTGAAGACTGCTGCTGAATTACTTTACCATTTAAATCTGATATTAGCCTGGAACATTGTCACGCATGTGTAGGTAGGTCAGTCCAAGATGAAAAGACTCCAAAATTTGCAAAAACAATGGGTGTGTGCTTATTGTCTGGTTCCCCACTGTCCTTACTCCCTAGCAAATCTTTTATAGAAACAGTTGTAGAGTAAGCTGATCCTTTTTACATGCTGGAGAAAAAGCAAAGACCTGAAACACCCAAAAGCCTGCAGGGAGTCCTATTCTCAATATGGTGACATAGCTGAATTTATTGAATGCTGCTATAAATTATTATTAATTTAATAGATTATAGATTAGTGCATCGTTTGGAACTCAGTGAAGAATCTAGAAAGACTTAGAGACAAGAAGGGTATTGAGTAAAGTCTGCAGACTTTTAATTGCTACATTTTTACACTCTTTATCTTGGATTCTTTATTACATGTCTAAAATGTGGCATTCTGATTAAAAAGGCCATGTTTATTGTTTTGGGTTTCATCATGTCTGCAGAGGAAATCAATGTTAGAGTGAAAACTTGTGAAGTTTGGATTGCTCAAAATAGACCTGTGGTAGTCATAGAATGATAAGTTCCTTCATAATTATGGCTGCATAAAACTATTTGGAATTTTCTTCAGCGGAATCAAGAGCATCTAATATGGTTCTAAAAAGTAGAACAGTAAACAGTAAGTGACACTCTTGGCCTTTCCATTTAAATGCAGAGATTTATGCCAATGTCTGAAAGGACAACTTCATCTAGATGAATGTGAGAACCATCTAGTGTGCTATAAATATATCATTTGAGTTGAATCCAACCAATTCACTTTTAAGTGCTAGTTTTTAAAACGTGCCTGTAAATTGTTATTCTGTCCTTCTCCATATGATAATTTAACTAGAAAAGCTGTCCAGTCTTATTAGCCCAAGCGATAATTTGGGTTGAAACTAGACAAGGTAGAGCAGGAAGCTGAACTGACATCTCATTCGTCTTTGGCCTCTCATGGTTCCTTGTAGCCCTACCAAATTTTAATCAAGTCAGTTTGCTCTAGTGTAAAATGTGAGGAAAAGAAGGAGTATCCTTTCTAATGATAAGACAGACTTCATTATTTCTCTTTCATGCCATCTCCAAATATATCTCATAATTAAACCCTTAATTGGAATGCATCTACATTTCAGTTGAACTCAAACATCCACCAATAACAAATCTATTTCTTAGTCCTTGAATTAAGGGACAGGCAGTAGCATCCAGAACAAACTATGATGATGCCAAATGGATAACACTTGCACAGTGATGTAGTCACACAAATGCCATGATTACGTGCTAGTGTCAGGCCATCAAGTCATGGTGTTGGTTTAATTACATCTCACCAACATGTGTTATCATATGCCTCAACTTGCATTCTCTCCAGATGCCTGTGGGAATTATTTATTAGGAGTTGGAAGGGTATGTTATATGGGGTTGAGAGACAATATTAGGGTAACAAGATTGTATATTGGAATGAGAATGAAAGGAGTCACTTTTATAGAGTGAAAGGGACTCGAGATTATGTTTGTCAGATTGGCTATATTATAAACACATGCAGTTTAGCAGAGGAGCAGTATAATTCAGCCTGAGCCTCAGAATAGGGCAGAGTAAATATACACATACGTAATAAGATCTACAAATCAGGAATGTTTAAACAGGAAGCCTTAGAGGGAGCTAGGTGGAACTATCAATGCTTGGACAGTCTGACAGACCTTCAAGGTGGAACAACCAACATTTTTTAAAAATAGGGTCATTTACCTGGGCAGATTCAATATTCATTGGTTCCCTATTAAATGGCCAAAATATATTTATGCTGGACTACAGATTCAAATAGGTTAGATTCCAGAAATAAGCCAGATTAAAAATAGTTAGTTTGTTTGGATTAACAAGTGGAAGCATGAGCAGAAACTGATTATCTTCTTCCTGGAAAACTTTCCACATCAGTTGGGCAACTGACTTTCCTCCACTCCAAAAGGGCCCTTCCACTTTCTCTGGACAGGCATTTGCATCCATGAAATGGCCTAGCAGGAAAGTGGAAAGGAGAGCTGATGTGAACCCAAGAATTGGTTCTGTCGGCTATCCCTGATCAAAGGACTGGAACAATCTTCCTGTGAAGAAAACTGTCCAGGTTTTGGAGCTTGAAGAAAAGGTGTGAGTAAGAGGGTTATATCTGGGGGAGGAGGAAGAGAAGAAACTTTCATAAAACAAAAATCAAGCTTCATCCTGTGAAGAGGTAGAAAATGTAAGACAGATAAAAGAATGTGCATATTGTATGTAGCGTAATTATGCCATTTGCTATGATAAAATATGAAGGCCATTAAACGTATCCATGGTTATTAGTCATAATGCTTACTTCTCAGAATCAATGTGTCTCTTAATATTAATTTGATGGAACTCGAGCAGGATGGAACTTTGATGTCCTTTGGGCGCCTGGTTCACTGTAGCTGCCGTCCATTCTGGAATGGATAGACTTGCTCTGATCCAGCAGGCTCTGCTAATGTTAGGACTTGGGTACTCTGGAGAATTTGTTCATTTATTCAGGCTTGCAAACTGGGCGGGTTAAAAACCAGTAAACAAGAAATAACCAAAAGAAAAACATAACATACCTGAGGCCAACAATAATTCTTATAAGCGGTACAGAATGGGTCGCCCTCACAGGGAATCTTTCGGAAGCTCAGTGGAGCAGCATTTCCCAATCTGTGTGGCCCATATTGTGGAGAATTCTGGAGGTTGAAATCCACACATCTGGATGCCATACTGGGGGAAGACTGCTATGGAGTAACCGTAATTCTAATCATTGAGCATCTCCTAGGCTGAAGTTGAGCCCATGTTTATGTGACGGATATTCAGAAATGTTGTAGGAAGTATTAACATTATCCCAAATTGTTTTGTTGCATGAGGTGGAAACTCCAAATGATGCGCACATCCACTTAATTAACAGAGGTAGTCCTCGCTTAATGTCTATTCGTTCAGCGACCGTTCAAAGTTATGACGATGCTGAATGAAGGGACTTACAACCAGTCCTCAAAGTTACAGCCATTGCAAAGTCCCCGCGGTCATGTGAACAAAATTTGAGCCTTCTTTTATGCCAGCACAGCTGGGGCCTTCTTAGAGGCACCGGCTTCTTTTGTGAATGGAAGCCCTGGCTGGCGCGCGAATGGGGGCCCTGGGTGGGGCGCAAGAGAAGCCCCAGCTGCACTGGCGCAAAAGAAGGTGGTGTGAAAGAAGGCCCTGGCTGGTACAGTAGTGGCGCGTGGCAGTGGCAGGCAGGGCTGGGCGACGAAGGCAGCTGGTGGCAGAGGATAGGCGGGGAGCCAAAAGGGCAGAGATGGGGGGGAGATAGGCAGGTGGGGGGAGTTCAAGAGGAGGCAGTCCCTTACCTTACTGAGGCTCAGGGCTGGGAGGGACCAAGCCAGGAATGGCTTGGATTGGGGTGGGTCCTTGCCTAACGACTGGTGGGATTTGGTTAACTATGGCAAGGGGGACTGCCAGGATTGCTGTTGCTAAGCCATGCAGTCGCATGATGTGTTTTATGACCATATCACTTAGTGATGGAAATTCTGGTCCCGGTTACTGTCATGAACTGAGGACTACCTGTCCAGAGCATATACTCTACCAAGAATTT